ACACCCGGGGCGCCCCGCGCACCCGGCCCACCTGGATAGGGTCACGGGCATGTCGGGGATCGTATTAAGAATGATGAAAATGGTTTTCTCATGGTTCTAGGCCGCTTGCGGGCCGTGCGGTGCTGAAGTTGAAAATGGTTTATGGTGGTTTTGAAAATGGCCACGCGCGGGTTTCAAATAGTTTCGGCGTCAAACTAGCAGCTTGGCGCGCCCGCCATTGGAAGGTATGATTACGCGCAGCGCGGCCTTCGCTCAGGGGTGCCAGGGCAAGTGGCGCTTGATCCTCCTTCCCACTCTGCCCTGCAGTAGGCGGTACGAGCCAAGGGCGTTTGAGCCTTCTCCGTGCCTCTTCACATGCAGCCCGAGCTCGGCCTTTAAGCGCGCGGGTGTCTTTTGTTGGGCTAGTTGGAACTAGAGGTTGCGTCTCGAACCGAAAGAGCCAACATGTTTTGTCCCACCAATTACCGTTGCTACTGCACGCTGCTGGGGCTGCCGCCCACGAAGGCATCCCCAGGTTCGCGCCGAGTCCGTCACATGTGAAACGTGCTGCGTTTGCAGGCTGGCCCGCGCCGAGTCCGTGGCATGTGAAGGGTTTGACAACTCGGCGCCGCGCCGAGCAAGCTATCGTGCCCCCCCTACCCTCCTTATCGGCAGAAGCAGGGGCGCGTGCAAAAGGGCACTTGTTTAAGTTGTTGTATTTTTCAAGTTTGTGCCTAGCAGCTCCGCGAAACTACTGCAGCACGCGCCTGTGCAGTCCATCGTTGTGTGTGTTGGGTAATTCGTTATTTTCCCTCCCCGCTCTGCGGTCGCCGCCCTGGGCGGCCGAATGACGAGAAACTTTGCTCAAACTTGCGCCGCAGGATGTGGAGTGAGAAGATATGGTACGATGCGGGATCGATTACACATGTCTGCGGTAACTGCATATGCAACAAGGGGACGATTTGGGGAGACTCGTCCCGTCAAAGGAGGAGGACCATGAGCAGGAGCAACTGCAACAGGCGCGCGTCTAGGCGCGCGTGGCCCTGGCACTGCGTCAAAGAAAAACCGTGGTGACTATAATGATTATGAACGACCGGGGGGGGCAGCTGCTTTGGCATTGGCGGTGCGCGCCGCAGGCATCTGGATATCTGGACAAATCGCGGGTGCAGCTGCAGGAAGTTCTTCCTGCCCTCGCATTTCCGCTCGTTCGCCAGCGAGACCTCCCTGCTTGTTTTGCGTGCTCGGTCGCGCCCGTGTTTCATGTTGCCCACAGCCACCTGGCACTCCATCTGAGAAATGGCCCCGGCCATGTGTCTCTGGAAAACTGTGTATGGGTCCTTGTTGGTGAACAGCCCTGGGATCGAGGCGTGCACCAACTCCAAACCTCGCTTTTCGCACTCCGCGATCGCCTCTTCCTGCACCATCAAGCGGCGGGCCAACCGCTTCTCGTCGGGCACCACGATCCGCTTGATGCCGCGCTTCTCGCACCTGTCCAGGAAGGCGGCCACGCCCGGCCTGGACAGGAACGGCGTTGAACCTGGGGAAGCAAAAAAAAACTCTACGACAAATTCGGCGTGCGATTTTGCAGTACTTCGCCGCGGGGGCGGTGGAAACATGAAGGCGGGGGGGGGGGCGCTTGCTGTAGCAATTGCGTTGCGTAGCGTCTGGCACGCTAACAAATCCAGGGTTTCGTGCCGATGGGCGACGTTACCTTCGGAAGAGGACGCGACGCGCCGCATTCCTCATCCAATGCCCTTGCGGTGTGTGGGGGCGTTGTGGCCCCGCCGTCCTGGGGCGTTCTTCAAGACGAGCGTTTCCTGGGCGGTGGGGGGGCGCCCCTGGCAGCCTTCGTTATCTGTGCCTTCTGCCGCGGCACGCTGGCGCCATCCACGTTCGTCATCGTCGACGCGCGTGTCGTGGCAGCCGCCTTCATCTTGGCAGGCATGGCGCGGGCGCCAGAAAACGAAACAAACATATGTTGCGCGGTGCCCGAACGCCGCAGGCGCGGCAGATAGGAGAGGGAAGGGGGAGCAGGAGCAGGAGCAGGAGCAGGAGGAATACAATTAGGCGGTGGATGGGGATGCGGGGGAAGGGGGGAATGGGGCGAGGAGGGGGGCGAGGAGGAAAACTGGGGGAGGGGGCAGTGAGGAGGAAGGAGGACGCGCGAGGGGGGGCGCGGCCCCCGCCGAGGCTTGAAAACGCTAGAGGGCGGCAGGGGCAACGCCGGCGACGGCGCCGACGAGGGTTGGGGCGGAGACAGAAGGGCGCGCCGGAAGTCGGTCCTGGACCGACTTCCGACGCGGGCCCGCGCCAGAAGTCAGTCCTGGACCGACTTCCGACGCGGGCCCGCGTCGGAAGTGGGTCCTGGACCGACTTCCGACGCGGGCCCGCGCCAGTCAGGACCGACTTCCGACGCGGGCCCGCGCCAGAAGTCAGTCCTGGACCGACTTCTGGCACAGCCCGGCGGCCGGCGCCAGAAGTTGGCCGACGGTCCGTGGGGGCCGTTCGAAGGGGGGGCTCTTGCGCTGGCAGGAGCAAGCGGCAGGTCGGCGGCAGTCGGCGGGAGTAGGCGGGGCCCACCGGCTGAGGGCCCGCCAGAGCTGGCGGAGAGGCGGACGCTCTTGCCAACAGACGTTGGCGGGAGGTCGGCGGCAGCCGGCGGAAGTACGTGCAGCCTGCGGCCGACGGCCCGCAGGAGGCCGCGGAAGTACGTGCAGCCTACGGGCGACGGCCCAGGGGAGGTTCGTGTCGCCCGA